CGAAGTCCTGATGGCCATAGAAAAGGGGATAGATGGGAGAGATGTGACGTGGCCGAGGTCGAGGTTCGAGGGGCCAACATAGCCTAAGTCGAGGAGATATTGTCGCTTCCACAAAGATTATAGCCATACCACCGAGGACTGTCGACACCTCAAAGACGAAATCGAGCGCCTTATCCGAGCAGGGCATCTCAAGGAGTTTGTTTGTCAGGATAAGGTGAGGGGGAAGGAGAAGAGGAGATGCCGGGAGAAATCGGTGGAGAGGAGCGACCGTGAAGAAGATGATGAGAAGGATCCTCGAGGAGGTCGAGATGGTCGAAAAAGAGATGAGGGGAGGAAGAGGCGAGGAAGTAGAGATCGAGAGAGACGAGAAGAGGAGGGCCAGGTGAAAAGAGGCACGATATATATGATCTCAGGTGGACGAACAGACGGAGACTCGAATAATGCTAGGAGAGGGCATGTTCGAGCGATGAAAAGGAAAAGAGAGGAAGTGGGTATCACGGCCCGAGTACCGGAGATTAGTTTTTCGGGCGGAGGATGCAGCAGGGGTGGTGATACCTCATAATGATGCCTTGGTGATTACGGCGGAAGTTGCAGGTTTTGATGTGAAGAGGGTGTTTATAGACACGGGAAGCTCGGTCGATGACATGTTCTATGATTGTTTTGTGCAAATCAATCGGGAGTTGAATGTGGAGTTGAAGCCGGTGGCTACGGCCTTGTACGGTTTTAATGGCGGAGAAGTTATGCCAATGGGAGACGTAAGCCTATCTGTAGCTCTGGGAAAAGGAGTGACCCAGAAGGTCCGGATGGTAAGATTTGTGGTCGTAGGAGTTGAATCATCTTACAACATCATAATGGGGAGAACGAGCTTGAATGCATTCCAGGAGGTCATATCCACGTACCACATAACGATCAAGTATCCTGTGGGCAAAAACGTTGGTGAGATCGCTGGGGATCAACTTACCTCGAGAAGCTATTACCAGACCACTGTGAGCAATAACAAACAACTAGCGAGGAGGCAGACGCGGCTAAAAGAGGAGGAGGTTAGTCGACCAGGAGGGTCGAGGTCAAAGGAAGAAGGACAGAGGTTGGAGAAGGGCAAGGAGAAGGTAGATATCCAGCCAGGAGGGGAAGTTGAGGATATCCAGATGGTCGAGGGGTATGAAGAGAGAACGTTTCGAATCGGGAAGAAACTAGAAGAGCCAGTGAGATCGAGGCTGATTAGTATGATAAGAGAATTTGCGGATGTATTCGCATATTCGACGGAGGAGCTGACTGGTATCGAGGCTGAAGTTATCGAACACCGACTGAATATCGACCTCACTGTGAGGCCGGTGAAGCAAAAGAGGAGGCATCACGGGGTGGAAATGGATAAAGTGATCGAGCTGGAGATAGAAAAGCTTCTGCTAGTGGGCCACATAAAGGAGATCCAATTCTCGGAGTGGCTGTCGAACACGGTGATGGTCTCAAAGTCAGAGGGGAAGTGGCGGATGTGTATAGACTTTCGGGATTTGAATAAGGCATGACCAAAGGACTTATACCCCACTACCTAGGATCGACCAACTAGTCCATTCCACGGCTGAATGTGAGTTACTCAGCTTGATGGATGTGTCGCAAGGTTATCATAAAATCCCGCTGGCGCGAGAAGATTGGAAAAGAGTCAGTTTTGTGACAAGCCGATGAACTTATTGCTATGTGCTAATGCCATTCGGTCTAAAAAATGCAGGAGCAACATATCAAAGATTGGTGGATAAAATCTTTAAGGAGCAGCTGGGGAGGAACATGGAGGTGTATGTGGATGATATGTTGGTGAAGAGCAAAGACGAGATCGATCACGTGAACGACCTGAAGGAAACATTCATGACCCTTCGGAAATACGGAATGAAGCTGAACCCTGCTAAATGCTCATTTGAGGTCAAATCAGGGAAGTTTCTGGGTTACATGGTCACGAAGAGGGGAATCGAGGTCAACCCAGAGAAAGTAAGGGAGGTGGTCGAGATACAACCCCCCACGAAGGTGAAGGAGGTACAGATCCTAACTGGTTGAATAGCGGGCCTAAGCCGTTTTATCTCCAAGGTGGCCGAGAAGAGTGGGCCCTTGTTCAAAACATTAAGGAAAAGCTCGAAGTTCCAATGGATAGAAGAAGCCCAGAAAGCGTTCAAGGAGTTGCAAAGGGTGTTAGTCGACCTGCCACTGTTAGCAAAACCGGTGTAGGGGGAGGACTTGGTGTTGTATGTGTCCATTGGTGAGATGGCAGTGAGCTTGGTGTTAGTGCGGGAGAAAGGGACAACCCAATTTCTGATTTATTACGTAAGTAAGGTGATGCAAGGGGCAGAGAGGAGGTATTCAGAGATCGAAAAGGGTATCTTGGCAGTGGTCGTCACTGTCAGAAAGCTGAGGCCATATTTCTTGGGACATAGGGTGAAAGTTCGGACGAATATGCCACTGGGAGAAACGTTGGTCGACCCTCCATATCTGGTCGATTAGTCAAGTGGGCCGTCGAGCTGAGTGAATACACGATTA